TTAGGGGGAGGGAGGGATTTGGGGAGGGGTGGGGGAGACTTGGGAAAATACAAACTTGTGAGTCCTCTTGTCCTGAAGCAGAACTGCCAGTGACTGACACATGAATTGTACGTGGGAGGGGCAGGAGTGGATTTTAACCCTTCGAAAGCCTTTCTACCCTTTCTTTCCATTTTAAGGTGCTATTTCTCAAAATTTAAGGGGGGGGGAAGAGAGACTTCTGACTTCTTGTTCCTTTTCTCACCTCCATTTGAGCATCCAGCCAGCAGCAATCGGGGAACACTTTTTGTTGTGGGAGGGAGAGGGACTCAATTTTTGTTGTGGGAGGGAGAGGAAATCAAACAGCAGCACAAGAAAACAAAGAGGAAAAAAAACACAAAAAGAATTCCATGTTCTCCCATAACAAGGGGTTGTTTGAAGCCAGACGTTGGTGCTGGATGTTTTACCCTCAATCTTTTGTGGGTTTTTTTTTTTCCTTTTTTGTTCACGGGGTTGGTTTTTTTCGTCGTCTTTTTTTTTTTATTTTTAATCAGATTTATGACAAATACTGAACTATTTAATGCCTGGAGTCGTGAGCCCCACCAGACTCCTGGCACCTCCTCGTTTGGGTGGTATGTCTCTAGACTTGCATTGTACAAACCTTTTTTTTTTTTTAAAAAAAAAAAAAAAAAAAGCATGTGTTTTAGGTTTCTGGGAAAAATGGTTGTTTAGGTTGGATTTTAACTTCATACCAAGCTCTGTCAGGTTTTTTTTTTTGGGTTGTTTTTTTTTTTTTTGGTCTCAATAAAATTTTAGATTTATAATCCAGATTTCTTTTTTTTCCCCCCCTTTTCTACCTTGCTCCTTCCTGCAGCTCTTTTGGGAGTGGGATGAGCCAGGAGGTGTAGAGCAGGTCCCCTCGTGGTGCTGGCTCTGGGAGAGAGGTTTAGCTCTGAGGCAGCAGCACAGGAGCTTTGGAGGAGCCCACGGCAGGTTCTCAGTTCTCTTGACATCCATCTGGAGAAGAAAAGTCTCCTAGAGGTTAGTGGCTAGAGGCCCCAGTGGAGTCTCCCCACCCTGGAGAGGAGGAGTAGCTGTGGTTGGGGAGGCAGCGAGGTGCTGCTGGAGCTGAAAATTAAAAGGACCTGGCACCAGGGGTGGGGAAGTGACCTTCACCTCCTCCTCACCTGAGCCCTGAGCAGACCTGCCACCCACCCCTGGGTCTGCAGAGCTCTGAGGATGGTTCTGGGGGCTGAAGGTGGGACTCTCTTCCTCTCTTTACTCTTGTGATGGCCTCGCTGGAGGCCACGAGCTCCTCTGCTCAGCCCAGCTGGTGCTCCAGGGGGGAGCAGAGTGGGCTGAGGCCTTCCTGGGAGGAAGACTCTGGTCCTGGCTCAGAGTTTTCCAGTGGTTTTGGGGGGTGTGGGATGGAGCAGGGAGTGGCAGGGAGGCTTTGAGTGCTGTTTGGGGGCTCCACCAACCCCTTGCTAGCTCTGGGGGGCTGCAAAACTGCACGACCAGTTAGAATCCAGGTGGTTTGTACCAGCCCAGCCACTGCCCCAGCAGAAGCAGCAATTAAACCCCTGCTAATCACTACAGTAATGTCCCCTGAATTGGGGGTGAGGGGGCTGCAGGTCCCCGGGGAGGCTCTGGGGTGATGGATGGCACCAGGGGAGGTTTTGATTGGAGTCCCCAGCCCTGGAAGGGTTCAGACAAACACGTGGACGTGGCAATTCAGGTCATGGTTTAGTGGTTGGGTTGTGACTGGGGTTGTGGATAAATGACTGGATTTGATGATCTGAGAGGTCTTTTCCAGCCTTAATGATTCTTTGATCCTCCTGATGTGCTCAGAGACCTGTGGGTGATGGGGTTTGGAACCAGATGATTTCTAAGATCCTTTCCAGTGAAAACTCTTGGATGATTCTGTGATTTCTCCAGGCTGAGGCCCCTCTGGCAGCTCAGCTTGGGGCTGGGGCAGAGCTCTGGGCTCCCCTGCAGCCTCCCAGCAGGGAGCTGGACCTGCACCAGGACGTTTCTGTGGGAGCACAGGCACATCTGTGGGCACCAGGAGCCCAGATGTGGAGTGAACTGTCCCAAAGAACCTGGGTGGGGCAGCATCTCTGCCCCTCTCTGGCCCCCACTGCCCTTCTCTGCTCAGGGAGGGGGGCACTGACCCCTCTGGGGGGGCTGTAACCTCCTCCCAGCGTTGCCCCAGGAGGCAGAAATCCTTTGTGGGATTTTTTTTTGCAAGCTGGTGTTAACGTTCTGGAAGAGCCCCTGAAGGAATATCTGGGATGAATCCCCCAGAGGCAGGAGGCTCCTGGAGCCTGGGTTTTAATGCTTCACGTTCCCCCTGGCTGAGCTGCTGCTGGGTGTGGAGCTGGCCCAGGCTCAGCTCTGGCACCAGGAATAGCTGAATATTCCCAGCCCAGCAGGAGAGGTTGGGATCTTAGGGAAAAAAAAACACCTTTTCCCTATGGGAACCCTGGTGGAAGGCAGTGAGGGAGCAGAGTGGAGCTTCCTGCTTGCATCTGCCCAAGGGAGGTGTCCAGGGCTGAGGGATGTGAGGCTTTGGTGGCCCCCCCAAAGTCACATCTGGCCCTGGCAGAGCCCAACTCTGTCAAATACTGGATACAGGAACTGCTCCCAACTGATGCCAGACAGAAAAATAAAACTCATTGCCTACACACAGCAGTGTAAAATAAAATCTAGAGAGCTTTCCTGGTGCTGAGCCACCCAGAGCTGCCCCAAAATGCTGCTTGGAGGGAAGAGCAGGGGTTTGGCAGCAGCCCCAGCCTCTTGCTGGTGACCCAGCAGGTCCCAGGAGCAGCTTTTCCAACCAGGCTTTGATCCTCTGAGCTGCGTGTGGTGCCTTCTGCAGGGCCTGGGCCCCTGCCCGCCCCCAGGGGGAGGATTTTGGCAGCAGCTTTGGCCTCCAGAGCAGCCTCCTCGGGGGTCTGCCCGGCCAGGGCTGCTGCCTGCAAAGCAGCAGCAGAGTCAGGGCCTGCCCTGGAGCCTGGGCTGGCAGCAGGGAGAGGCTGAGCCCAGGGAGCCACCCAGCAGAAGGCTCCTCCGTGGGCAAAGAGGCTCCAGGTCCTCCTCCTGCAGGGAGGGTGTGGGCCAGGAGATGTGTATTTGGGAAACTCCCTCCCTGGAGGGGCTGGAGGGTGGCCAGAGAAGGGTCTAGAGCCCAAGTGTGGGGGGGGGCAGCTGCGGGGGCTGGGGGGGCTGGGCCGGGGAGACCTTCTGGCTCTGCACAGCTCCTGACAGGAGCCTGGAGCCAGGGGGGGGTCGGGCTCTGCTCACAAGGGACAACAGGACAAGAGGGAACAGCCTCAAGTTGCCCCCGGGGAGGTTGAGGTTGGAGCTGAGGAACAATTTCTTCCCCTCCATGGCTGTGCCAGGACAAAGCAGAAACACACCTCTCAGCTTGCTTTGGGAAGATGCTGCTGGGAAGGGAGGAGAAGAAGAAAGCAGCTGAGCCAGAGCTGCCTCCCCCAGCCACAGGGAGTTTCATTTTCCTCCCCTCTGAGGCCGTTACCTGCAGGCCAGGGGAGCAGAGCAGGGGCTGGAGGGGAAACCAGACCTGCTGGGAGCTCAGCAAGAGCCAGGAGCTACCGTGGGGGGGACAAGGACCCAGGAGAAGAGGGTTTGTTTCCCTGCCATGCTTCCTCTTTCATTCAAACCAACAATAATCATCCAGGAAACAAACGCTCGTACAGTGAATAAGCCGTTTTATTTTTGTCCTGTGCTCACACAATCTCTCTTCTTTCCCTGACAGGTCACAGATCATTCAAATCAAAGTTTCTAAGAGGAAAAAAAATTAAAAAAAAAACCAAAATAATTTGGCACATACAGCGCAGGGCTCCCTTCCAACCTCCCCACCCCCACAGCTCCACCACTTGTGCTTCATCCCCTGCCTCACTCACGCCACCGAAGCTCAGGGCAGCTCCTCAGTGACTTTTTGGGGCTGCTGAGAACCCTCCAAACACCCCGAGATCCAACTTGTGGCCTGGAGAGTAAAAAAAACAATACGCCCAGGG